TTTGGGACCTGTTGCTTAAAGGGAACCAACTATGAAATCAAAGTCTATGCTTTTCTCCGTGGTTACTTCAAAGCCCAGCGATTCTAGGGCTTAAGGTTTCGTCAGGGTTTAGGGTGTCGGGTATAGGGTTTAGGGCTTAAGGTTTCGTTAGGGTTTACGGGTTTTGGGGTTTAGGGTTTAGGGGCTTAGGGGTTTACGGTTTAGGGTTTCGAGTTTAGGATTTAGGGTTCGGGGCTAAGGTTGGCGTTTAGGGGCTGGGGTTTATGGTCTTGGCCCAAAAATCACTTGACATCTGAGTCTTGGGATTGTACGTGGTCTTGCGGGACCCCATTGAGGCATGAGCTTTTGTGGTCTGTAACCTGTGACAGCTGTCTTTACGACTTTGCGGCGTGAAACATGCTAAAGGTTAAACCCTTACCCCCCAACAGTTTGCGGCCTGTCTGTATCCAGCTTTTCAGTTTCGAGTAAGCCTGCGGGCTTTAGACTTTAGACTTTATCCCCAACGAGCCTTGCCAAAGCAGCTCGTGGCAATGCGGCAGAATCATGTACCGATCCGTTCGTTCTGAAACCAAAACAGTACAGCAGCCGGCTTGAAACTTCTTGTCCTCCTACTCTACTTGGAGGGGCAGGGGACTTAGTAAGTAGGTTACAAATAGAGTATAAGTACTAAATGGAGTTACCCCAGTTATAACCCTACTTATAACCTACTTACTAAGTCCCCTGCCCCTCCAAGTAGGAGAAAATTAAAGTCACTGCCACTGCTAGTCATGTTTTCCCAGGTTCCAGCTTTTGTGGGTTTGCTGCATCATCCAGTAGAAATGCTGCAAATTTTCGGAGTGCCGGAGAGCCTGCTTGAACGATTCAGTCCTACAAGCACTCACAGGCGTTTCAACGCTGTCCTGTAGTAGAGGGCCATAGTGCTTTTGCGTAGACTTCTTAGTAGCTGAGTGGATACACTTTACACTTTTTGGGGTAGTATGACCGAATATAAAACTGAAAGTGTACACTCTGAGGGGCTTATGAACTCAGCAACTCAGAATTTGGTATCACTGTAACCCGGAGCTCCAGGGAAGGAATTGTAGTACTAACTAAGTGTTCAAGTCAAGTGTCTACATTGCACGCCTGGTCGGACTCAGAAGCTCAACCCTAATCCCTGTACCTTTACCCCAAAACGACTCTATGACTTCCTGCACACGACCGCTTTTGCTGGGGAGTTTTATCGTTTCCGTGCCAGAAGCGAGCCGTACGGCTGATGGACAAACTCCCGCAATACCCTAGGGACTTCTGGCATACCTTTTAAGATTTAGGGTTTAGGGTTCAGAGTAACTACTAAATCCTCAAATCTCTAATTAAACCCCACAAACCCTAAACCCCTAAACCCTAAAGGTAAACCGATTATGGGTAGTGCAGGATGTTGTGCCATCAGCAGCAATGCCACGAGGTCGATGTTCCGCCCCGGCTGCCGCGCGTGGACAGCTTCGAGCCACTACAGGCCTCGGATGATGGTCCTTCTTTCTTTTTGGGTTTAGGGTTTCGGGTTTAGGGTGGTTGTCAAAATTATGGTCCCTTTTTGTTGGGTGCCCTAAATATTAGGTGCCGTATTATAATAAGGATCCAACAAGGAACCCTAATATTGACAACCACCCTTTCTCTTCTAGGACCTAGAGTAAGCCCTTATTCCCTTTTCGTAGGGTCGTAGGGTTCAGGTTCCCTTATAAGCCCCTTTAAGCCAAAAAGGGCACCCTGTTAATTAATTCCTACGTTACTCGTAAGTCTAGTCTTTCAGTGTGTATGTATATATGCAGATCACATGTGCTTTGAGCCTCCTCAACCCAAAACCCTCAGCCCTGCACCTACAAAAAAAGATCGAAACCCTAAACTCTAAACTTTCCTAAACCCTGGCCTCTAAACTCTGAACTTCCCCAGTTCCTTACCCCTAAACCCGAAACTTCGCTAAACCCGCACCCCTCAGCCCTAATTAAACCCTGCACAGTTTAACCGAAACACTAAACCCTAATGCTCCTGGACCCTCGTAGTGAGATCCTAAACCGTAGCCCCCAAAGCCCAAACCCTCGCCCACAAAGCCCCTAACCTTCTTAGGAGCCTTAGGGTAGGTACTAAGTCCCCCCTAAACCCCCCTTATAGAGCCGGTTTAGACTCCTTGTAAAGAGCCCTTGTAGAACCCTATACAGAAAACCCTTACAGGGAGAACCCTTATAGATCCCGATGAAGGAGCCCTACTAGCCTATAGCCAGAAGATTTGACCCAAAGTCCTCATGTGGATGCTTCCACAGGGCGAGACAGTGGATGCCGAAGTGATTCGGAAAGCTCCGCGGCAAGAATTCGTTTTTTTGGGGGGTTGAGTTTTGGTTGTTTAAGGGCTCCTTTAGGGTTTGCGGTTTAAAGTTCCGGGTTTTGGGGTTGAGGGGTGTAGGGGGTTTAAGGGCTATTTTGTGGGGATCATTGAGGATCCTTTAGGAGGGTTCAGAAGGGTCACAAGATAGGTAGGGGCTGCAATGGTTAGAGGTGTAATATTTGGGGCCCCTTGTTTTCTGAAACTCCGATTTGGGTTTGCGTGGTCAGGGTCTATTGAGGCTTCCGGTGCCCGTATCCCTACAACCCTGACCCCTAAACTTTAGAAGCCCTAAACAAATCTTGACCCCTAAGCCCAAAGCACAAAACGCCTGTAAAGCTTAAACCCTAAGCCCAAAGCTTATCCTAAGACCACTTAGTAAGTAATCTAGCAAGCAGCCACCACGTCATCTGCAGAGTTCCGTTGTTCTTCAAGGCTTCTGGTTTGGGGGGCCCTTGAAGCCTTAGAGGTTTAGGGGTATAGGAGGTGGTGTCTGTTGTTGTTTTGCTTAGGTTGAACCCCTAAGCCTAAACCCTAAACAAATGGCGACGGCTCAAGCTCTTCGCTCCATTCCAACTGCCTGTTCCTGGATTTCATCTTCTTGCTTCTGCTACCTGTGACGCGCGATGCCGCATAAAGGTGGAGGCAACAAATCAAAAGGTCGACGCGGTCCCCTTTCCAAGGGCCAGCGTCGACGAAATTCAGCAGACCCGCGCAGAGGAGCAACCGCCAACCCGCCTGCTGCATGCACGGCCAGTGCTGCATGCCACTGTGGTATGAAACCGGGGTGACATCCACCACAACATCTACGAGCGAGTTGCCGTCGGATCCTGCTTCGGAGCTCCCGCTGAGTGCTCTCATTGTGGAACCGAATGACACGTCTTTGTTGGTCCAACTTCAGACAGGATCGCAGGAACAGGTAGGGGTGCCGGCGGCTGACCTCGCATTCGTCAACACCCTTGCCAGAACCTGACTCCATCAGAAACCTTCTTCAAGAGCTTATTACAGCTGCGACTCGCGAGACAAAAAGCAAGTCGCAGATTGGATATGCTCCTGAGTTGAGATGGGGCGTGTACGGGCATCTACGGCTGGTATAACTGATTGTGGATGCCTTAGTGACCTGCAATTCCAAGGTTGGAAGTATGGGCCCGTAATACGGACCCTTAGGCCTACACCCTAAAAGCCCTAAGCCCCTGAAAGCCTTAAGAGTCAGCATCTAGAAGGTTAGAAACCGCCCCCCTAATATGGACTTTTTCGGCCTTAGGCCTTTTGAGGGGGGTTCTGGGGACCCTTAAGAGTCAAAAAAAGGGTATATAGCAGGTATATAAGGATCCCAAGGTTAAGGGCCCAGACTAGGGGCCCATGGTTTCAACCGTTGAGCAATGCCAACATCGTAAGTACGAGGATCCTTGAAGCAAGGCGAAAGTGCATGAGTACAAGCTTCAATATACAACAGGGGCCTTAATAATTGCCTATAGGGTTGTGAGGGTTCCTTTAAAGGTGTCGATAAGGGCTACTACAAAGGATCTATGAGAATACTATACTAAAGAGGCCTCAAGAATTACCAACACTATTTTGGAGGGTCCCTGTTACATTTAAGGAATAATGGGCCCCAAAATCGTACTTTAATTATTCAGGCGCCTATAATAATACACATTTCAAGGACGCTCTATCGAACTACTTCTCTACAGATGAGCCCGATGCTCCCAAAAGCACCCGCCAATCATGAATCGCAATGCCCTGTGACACGGCCTGACTGCCAGATTCCAAAAGCCTTCATCGTGTCCGTCACCCCACCATCAGGCCACTGGAAATTCGGGGTGGTGCAGAGGGTTCAACAGCGGGGCTGCCATGATTGGAATGTGGTGTTGGGTAGAAGTTTAAGCTAAAATTTAGGCTAGAGAGGATAAGGCAGTATAGTCCGATCCTCCTGCGTAATAGGGGTCCCTTTTGCAAAAGATCCCTACAAGAATTCACGCAATAGTCGTACGGAGTCTGTGTGTTCAGGGTTCGAGCGTTCAATTCAGAAAGGGATCCCCAAAAGGATCCCTGAAAAGAAACTTTTGTAGGAACCCGTAGACAACGGTACAGCTAAAAGCAAGAAAGGGTTTTAAGTTTAGGGTTTAGGCTTCAGGCTTAGGGTTTAGAGTTAGGGGTTCAGGGTCTAGGATCCCAGGCTTTGGGGTGTGGTAGGCTGTCGGTTTAGGGTTTCGGGTTCCTGAGCCCTAAACCCTAAATCCTGAACCCTAATGGCTATGGCTCAAGGCTACGGCTCAAGGAGCCGCTCGTGCCGGATGGTTCGTTGTCTTCTGGCCGATCCTCGACTTTGACGTGATTCTCCCTGGGTGATCCTCTCCGCCTGCCTCCTTCCGATCCTGCTGTCCTTCGCGAATATCGGCGGCCGTGATTTCCTTGTTTTACACGATTCTGCCCTTCAGCTTCGCTGGGTCGAGTTAGTTCCCCGATGGCGCTCCGTGATCACAGTCCCACAGAGATTGGTGATGACGAGGACGAGGACCTCATCTCTGTCAAGAGCGAGGGACGGGGTGGTGATGAACGTGCTCCACCAGTACTGGCTGTGACGAATCCTTCGGACTCTACTGGGGCGAATCCTGGCGTGCCTTTTGGTCCTGCTGTCAGAGAGGCTATGGCTGTGGACTCTACTGGGGGAAGTCCTAGCCGAAGCAAGCGTGCTCGTGAACCTGGTGAAGGGCGTGAAGCTCGCCCACGGGGTGCTGCCCAAGGACGTGCTTTCTCTCCTGGGGGTGATCAACCTGTTACTTCTCGGGAGTTTCGGGACTTGCTCAACCAGCATCTACATGCTATCACTCGGTCATGGCAGGAAATGGATGGCCGGGTTGGTGCAGTTGAAGAACGCCTTGACCATGGAAAGAAGGAATCGGCCATTCTAATTTCCAGGGTGACTCAAGTTGAGAGGAAAGAGGCGGACCTCGAGGTCAAGGTGACTGAACTTTCCCGGACAGTAGCTGCTATGCAGAACGGGGGCGAGAAACCAGCGCAGGCGGGTGGCCCACCTTGGGGCGAAGGAAGTCTGGACCCATGGGCCCAATTTCGTGCTCGAAAAGGCTCTGCTTTTCCCGCGGCTGCTGCTGCAACAGAAGGCCCTCCTCGTGGCGAAGCTTCTGGCTCTTCTGGGTTTCCTGGAGGGGGACGTGAAGAACTTTCTGATGATGACAAGAAGACCCTGATCATTGGGGGGTGGATGCCTGACAGCCGACGACAACTCATCATCGACGAGGGCAAGGGCTTCCTTGAAAGGGACGAGATCAAGAACGATCTGGACCAGACCGAGCTCACGGTGTGGGGACCACGGAGGGCCTTCGCCGTCTTGAAGTTCAAGCAGCGGGATGGAGAAGAAATCCGGGATGTTCGCAACCGAATGTGGAAGATCATCCAGAATCTCCGTGCCACTCCCCATCGTTTGCCGTCTACGGCAGGCAGTGATGGCTTGGGACGACCGATGTGGGCACAGTTCACCAAAACACGGGAGGCAAGGAGGAGAGCGTCGCACGGCTCCATGCTACGCCGGGTGTGTACAAACCTCGTCAAGGATGCAGAGATCTCGAAGGAAGCCCACAACATTTCTGCTAAAGAGGATGGGGCGTACGATATTGACTGGACCTCTGGGACGGCATGGCATGGGGAACTCAAACTTGGGTCGAGCTCGCATCGGGCCCCCAAAGGAGACAGTGTCAAGCTTCTCAGTTCGGGGTGGGTTGACATCATGGCGGTGGCACGTGCCACTGGCGTCCAGTTTGACATCGCCCTTGGGGCGATTGAACGGGAGCTGTGACAGAAGGAGCCGACCAGTTTCACCCAGGATAGTCTGGGGCGTCACAGGTCACATGAAGGTGCAACTGGTGATGCTCGGACTTCCGACAATGCATGTTCACAGACTAAGGAGGGCAGATGCAATACGCGCCGGCACCCTGTTCGGTCTGGAATTAGACGACATGTTGCCTCTTGGAACCTTGGTGGACAGCCTCTTCCTAAGGTTGATGCTGTTTCGGGAACACTTGACTTTCTCACGGTCCAGGAGATGCCCAGAGCTGAAGAAGGATGGGGTGAAGAAATGACTGACAGCTTCGTTTGGCTCTCGCATCGAAGTCCTAGCCAATGGCGGGGAGTTGGGGTCGGTATATCACAAGACATCTTTGACTGTTGCACTGACAAGGTCTGCTTCGACAAGGGTGCTGCTTGGCTTGTCAAGTTTCGGAATAGCAGACGTCTTGTTCTGGCTTCCCTCCACCTACCGACTGGGGTGCCCACTCGACTATACCATGCTGCTGTTCAAGACTTTCGTGCACGCATTCGCCGGTGGCATCCTGATGTTCCTTGCTTCCTTGGGGTGGATGTTAATGAGGTTGTTGATTGGACCCATGCAGATGAGAACGAGGACGACACTGGCGTGAGAGCTGGGGCGAAGATTGATAAGTTTCTTGAGGCCACAGAGGATCTACGTTGCCGGTTGGTTGCACCGGTCCTCCAACATCGCTGGAGTCCTACCCACTTCCCACGGGATGAAAGTCGAGAGGGACGTCACATTGATGCTATCCTTGTTCGTCAACTACATGCTGGCCCGGTGCGTGTCAATGCTGACGTTCGCATCCACATCAACACCGACCATGCACGGCTTGAATGTGATCTTGATGTGCAGGCTACCTCCTGGGGGAGTTGGATCGATTCTCGGCCTCGCTGGGTCAAGCCTGGGGCGCTCATCTCTGAACCGCATAGTTGGGACGACGTCGTCGCCATGGCAAAGAAATGCACGGAACCACGACAGAAACATAAGTATGTCGACTCTGATGAAATACGTGATGCCACCGAGAGAGCAAAGGCGTGTCGGGGCCCTGCGGCCAAGGCTCTTTGGAATGGAGTACATCGTCTACGACGCCGCGCTCGTCGTGCCTGGAGGCTTGCCCGCTCTGGAAGGATACTTGCAGGAGATTGGCATGCCTATAGGGAGGCCAAGGCAGAGTCCAAGAGAAGATGCTGGTGGGGTGGTCTCCTTCGGGATCGGAGTGCACAAGACCTTGCCGATGCCGTGACGGAGCACCTCGAGAGCAAAGTCAGTGATCCCCTTGCAACTTGGCATGCCGAGCTTGATGAACGCCTCCAAAACATCACTTGTTGCCCAGCGCACTTTGCACCTATTTCAAGCGAAGAGGTTGGGGCGGCACTCCTGAAAATGAGAGCGAGGTCTGCACTTGGACCAGATGGGGTGAGTGTCGACTTGCTGAAGGTCATTTTCGCTGAATGCCCTGATGCCCTTCTTCGCCTCCTGAATGAAACACTCTTCACAGGGGCGATACCTGAGAAGTGGGGTGAGTCTTTACTTGCTCTACTTCCGAAGGTTGCTTGTCCGCAGGCTGCTCGTGAGCTACGCCCCATAGCTATGTCTTGCAGTGGGATGAAGCTCTTGTCGAAAATTGTCATGAACCGCACTTTTCGTCGCCTTCGTGAACACTCGCCCTGGTCAGCGTGTGGGCAAAATCGTGGCACTGCAGACCTACATGGAGCTATGGGGCGACTTCGTGACATGACACGAGAATGGAGATTGGGTGTACTTGTTGTCAAGCTCGACATTGAAGGGGCGTTCGACTATGTGAACCGAAGGAGCGTCGCCGATTTCATTCAGACCAGACTCAGTAGTGCGGAATATGGCTTCGAACAACGTTTTCTACTACGACTTCTTGATGAGAACCTACTTCGGGGTGTTTCGCCAGGTGGTGGCTCTGTCCGTGTTAAGTGCAATCGTGGTATTCGTCAGGGTTCGCCTGAGTCGGCAGAGATTTTTGGGATGTTGATCTCTGATGTCGTCAATCGTCTCAAGCATGCTGGCCAGTGGAAAGATCCGGTGGGCAAGCTACGGGATGTGCCGGCAGATGTTGGGACGTACCAAGATGACATCTTCGTTTGGTCCGACACGGCAGGAATCTTGGAGAAGAACATTGCTCGGGTTGCTGCAGAACTTCGTCACCTTGGCCTGAAGCTGGCAGTTCAGAAGACATGCGTCATCGCCAGTAAGTACTACAAGGGACGTCGTGTCATCAAAGTTGATGGGACGGATATCCCAGTGCAAGAAAGTGGAAGTGCAGTGCGTGTTCTTGGCCTTGACTATGATCTCGATGCTCCTGCCGCCTCACAAGCACGCGAGCTTCATGGCAGAGTCTGGGGTGCTTTTCATGACAATAAGGCATTCATCTGTGGGCCTGGCAGCTGGCAGGAGAAACACCGATTGGTGCAGATGCTGGTGGAAGGTAGTTGGTCCTGGTCGGCTGGGGCGGTTCATTGGGAAAAGGCTGAACTTCAGATGATGAATAGTACCCAACTACGTGTTCTACGGCTTGCCTTTGGAATCCGCCGCCTTTCTGGTGAAGACTGGGTCTGCTACAATGCGCGCTCGCTGCGCCAAGTGCGTCTTTGGCTGGCACAGACCGGGGCGGAGAGGTGGAGTACTAAGGTGCTACGCTTGCAGTTTCAGTTGGCTGGCCACTGGATGCGCCAGGTCGAAGATGAGGATGGCAAGCCCGGTCTGGCGGGGCGTATGATGTTGTGGAGGTCCATGTCGTGGTGGAACCACGAAAAAAGTCTCACGTCTGGGGCGCGACATCCAATGCGATTTCGGGCTGCCAACCTTGAGCGATCGCTTGCTTCTTGTCTGGGCGAAAAGTGGTATGATGCCACATACAACCGTGAGGGGTGGAAGCAGCTACTGCCCATGTGGATTGCACATGCTGATGTTGCCTGGACTCGAGGGAGACAGCTGTGTTTGGAGAACTGAAAGCTGACTGGGGCGTGTGAAGTCTGCCAGACTGAGTGTGTCCAGTACTTCTTTCGGAACTGCAGCAGTTGTGATCGTCTGGCTCGAGTTCAACTTGACTTCCAAACATGAATGTTGAGAATGCCTCCTGTACGACATCAAGATCATGATTGCATACTAGGTGACTTACCTGTGTCTTCGCGTACTTGTCTTATTTTCACTTTTGCCTGTGCTCTTCGAGCACTCCAATTCGCTTACATGGCAACGCAGATGTGTCTGCGTGGGCGCCTCGCCTTCATCGTGGGGATGTTCCTCCTTGGCTGCTACTTTCGGAATGGTGATGCGGTCCCTGCCAACACCAATGCATGGAACAGTAACTCCAACAACTGGGACCAGGGACGAAATCCTTCATCTTCGGCTTCTTCGTGCCTTGGACATTATGCTGATCAAGATCCGGGCCCTGGTCCTGCTCGATGGGACGATTCTGCACATCATGATGGTTCCACACAATTTGCTGATCGTGATCCTGGCCCTGGTCCTGCTCGATGGAACGATTATGCACATCGTGATGGTTCCCCACAACATGCTGATCGAGATCATGGCCCTGGTCCTGCACATGGTGGAGATTCTGCACTACATGGTGGTTCGTCTGGAATGGATCGGCCGCGCACTTCGTCGTCGTCTTCTACAACTGGACAACATGCTGGACGTGAACATCATGCTGATGCTGCTCTATGGGATGATCCGGCACGTCGTGGACGTTGGACTGTGGAACACTGGTGGGATGCGACAGGGTGGCAAGGGACTGGACAAAATTGGCAGCAAGACAATGGCTGGTGGGAGCATGGGGATTGGACGTCTTGGTCACCGTGGTCTGACTGGGGCAATAATGTGCGTGAACAACATGGTCGTCCTCATGGCTTCTATCGTCACGGTGTCTATGTCGACCGCCAAAGGGACGAGACAGAACAACGTTTTCACACTGGAGGTCAAGGACAACAACGCCAGAGCCGACGACAGGAGAGGATGAGACAGTGGAAAGCTGGCACATTCATTCCATCCTGGAGACGTGAAATGGAGGAGGCGGGACGTCGCATGCATGGGGATGGTCGTGGTGGGGGCGAGGAGTTTGCTACGGTGCGTGAGGCTGAACTTCGTGCTGCTGCAGTTCTACAAGAAGCCACGGCTGCTGCTAGGCAGCAGGATGGTGCCAGGGACACCACGGAAGTCGAAAGTATCAGTGAAGATCACACCTCCTGCTCGCTGAGTTCGGCGTCTAGTTGGGAGTGGGAGCCTCGAGAAACCATTGCCAGCGCTGGGGGTGGTATCGCTGATGCAACTGGCGCTACAGGGGGTGCTCTACGTCCTGTCGCTGCTGACCCTACTGTTACCCCTGACAATCGCCCACGTTGGTCCCGAAGGCAGTGGGATGATTGGGAGTCTTGGGAAAACGATGCCCAGCCTGCCATCTCTGACGAGGTCGATCTCATGCAGCGAGGTAGACCCAATGCGGAGGATGTCAACAATGATGGGGCGACTGCGGACCGGTCTGCTGGCAGTGATGGTGCTACGGCTGCCCCGTCGATGCCTCTCACGATGCAAGAACAGCAGTCGCTCTTTGATGCTGGATGGCCGCTGGAGATGGTGTCCAATATGAAGGAGTTCTGTGACTTTCTTGAGTGGGCTCGACAACAATACGGGGACGGAGCTATTGCATGGACTCTTGACGTCTGGGGTGATGCACTGGTCATGGGAAACACGACGGTCGAGCTCGCGCAGGAGACTCTCTGGGGAAGACTTCGTGATGAAGAAGCTCGGATGCCAGATGATCCTGGAGTACGGGGACGCTTGGTGGTTGGGTTCGCAGGTTTCCAAAGGCAGCTGAATGACTTCCACTTGTCGATGGTCCAAGAAAGTTTACGAAGACAGTGGATGCCCCATGGGGTGAATGCTGATGGACGGCACCTTCCGGAACCTCCGTTCGTCCGGGGTGACACTGCGGCTTGGGCCATGTCTCGTGCACGTGCCCTTGCCCGTGAGTTGGTGCAGAGAGCTCAACGAGAAGGGGCGGCACTTCGTTTGGCAAATGAGGGTGCCAGCGTCAATGTTCAGATTGGTGCTCCTTCTGCACAACCTGCTGGTACGGCTGGTGTCTCCTCCAGTGGGGCTGCCGACCTGTTGCACGCAACTGGTGACAATGGGGCGGAAAATGAGGTAGGAGAAGAGGCTAGGGATGGCAACGTGAACCACGATGAGATCCCTGACGACACCAGCATGATGCAGCTCACTTTGGACGAGGAGGCACGCCTGCATAACATGCAGGTACAGGATGCTGCACGACGACACCTACGCTCGCTTCTGGCATCGCTCAACTATATCCAGGATCGGGGTGAAGGACCCGAATATAGGTGGGGAATCTGCCTCGTAGTGGAGTCGTGGGATGCCAGCATTGGCGTTATGCAGACCATTCGGGACATCCTCGCGAGGCGGACCACAAACCTTGGGGCGCTGCCTTACTACCCTGCAACCCGAGAGCCTTCTTTTGGGGCGTTGCGGGCAAGAGTCGTATCGTATATGGCAGAGTACAGACACCTACTTCAACAGGCGCTGGTCGAGGAAGTGGCGATGCAGATGATTGAGAGATCACGTACTACTGGGACGAGCTCTTCCACTCCACCTTCGATGACATTCTCTGGGACACGGGGCGGAAGGAATACAAGACGACGGGATGGAGAACACCCACGTGGATCTCGATCTCGCTCCAGAACACCGCCAGATGCTCGTGGAGAAGATCTACGTGTTGCCGATGTGACAGATGGTGGTGGGACGGCTGAAAGTCCCTCGGCACGCTCGGGACGTGCACGCCTTGGTTCCCTTCTCCCGTCGCTTCGTGAACCTCCTGGTCTTCTTCCTCCTGGGGCGATGTGCTTCTCGGACAATGAAGTGCTGCAGTCTGCAGTTGAGCAAGCTACGATGGATGCTGTGCATGCTGGTGGAAGTTCCGTGGAGACTGGGATGGATGCTGAACTACCAGTACCTCGGGACGTCCCTGTACTACCTGAACATTTCCCTGCTGGAGATGCTGTTCCGCCTGGAGAGGGTCCTGCACTACCTGTACTTCGTGGTGATGCTGCAGTACCTGATTCTCCGCTTGGTCTTCCTACACTTTCCGAGGCTGTGCATGGTGATCCTTTGATTGAGTCCCAGTCTGGGGTCGATGCCACTCTGATGGAGATGTCTGAGACTTTGGATGGTGGAACTGCACCTGTTGGGGTGGATGTTTCGGTCATGCCCGAAGATGTTGGCCTAGAGCAACCTGCACCTGAAACGATGAGGCCTACCGATTCTGATGCTTCGGAGACAGTTGTGGATGATGCCGTGTAAGTGGTTAATGCTTTTCGAAAGTGCCTACAAAACGTGGGCTTTCTTTCTTTTGTGCAAGCCTCGTACCGGGGCGGACCCTTGGACGCAAGGAAAAGGGCACTGCATTTAAAAAAAAAATCCTTAAAGCCCTAAACCCTAAAACCCTAAAACCCTAAACCCTAAACCCCAAATCGCAAGCTCCCTAGAGCTCCTCCTTGCCGTGCACTTGGCCCTACTCTAAGGGCCGTGCGAATTCGAACAAGGCTTCCTTTAAGGGTTCCTTTTAAAGGGGGTCCTCTAAGGATTACTATAAGGGCCATTATGGGGGTTTAGTCTAGGTGGCAGGCCTGGCCCATGGTGTTTGCATGGCTTTATCACGCTTTGAGAAGTGTTTTGTTGAGGGTCTTACAGAGCTTGAGGAAGGTTTTCTATGTGTTGTGGAAGGCGTTTAGAAGGTTGTTACAAAGGTTCTTGAAGGTGTTTAGAAGCGTTTTATAGGTCCTTCGAGCGGCTTTTGATGGGGTTGTACCCATGGTTTCACCCCGCCCAGGAAGAAGACCCAGTGGAATGCCCCAAGATGCAAGTCCAAGTGAAGCCCCAACAAACCTGAACCTCAAGCCGCTCTAATCATAATCTTCCCGATCCCATATTCCGGAGTGTAGAACTTGGAGACTGCACAACCCCTTATTTGCCCTAGATCTTGGGAGTGTTCCTCTTATCGTGTAAGGTATATTCCTTAATGGGTGTTGGCGTCTCTGGGAACATCATTTTAAACCTTAAACCCCTAAACCGTAAGCCCTATAAAGCCTTTGAGCCTTATAAACCCTATAACCCCCATAAGCCAACTAAGCCTCTCAACCCCTAAACCCCTAAACCCTAAGCCCTAAACCACGAAGACCCTGTTCGCAGGGGGTGAAGCTGTTCTGGCCAAGCTGGCATCTGGGCCCTGGACCTGCCAGGGTTAAGGGTTCGGGGTTCAGGGTTCGGGGTCTAAGGTTCGGGGTTTAGGGTTCGGGGTTCAGGGTTTATAGGGTTTAGGGGTTTAGGGCGTCTTCTTGCGCAGAGCGCTGGGCACGCGTTAAAAGCAGTACCTTTTTTGCATTGTTTCGATGATGACGTGACTTCCTTATCCATCGGAAAGGGTCAATCCTGCGACTTCGTCGGCATGCAGGCCACAAGTAATGTGGGCTTGGAGTGAATGACTTGCGAAGTAAGTTCTGGTACTGTACCGGGGCATGTTTTGGATATTGCTTGAGCAGTTTGTCCATGAACGACCTGCACATTGACTCTGTCTGTTGGTGTTGCGGAAGACGTCGTTCGCTCCGTTCTCGTGTCAAAGCAGTCGGTGGAAAAGCAGCTTCGCTGATTTCGCTTCAAGCTGCTGGCTGCTGACTCCTGAGCCTGAGCATGCCTGCTTCTTTCCAGGTGTGAAGCATGCCCCATAAGGCGGCATGGCGAACAGCATCATCAATGTTCTGATTGTCTGGGGTACGTGCTACTAGTTTTTTTCTACCCCGTGATTAGTTAGTTCTTTAAACTAGGCCCGTTCTGGGGTCCTGTTTATAAGGGTGCCGCTTCTTTTGGGTTTTTAGACACGGACCCTAATTTATGGTATTAATTACCCTCCTTGAGACGGCCGGTCAGTCTGGGGCTGCAGGCTTTCGTGATGTTCCGTTACCGACTTTTACTTCTTGGGCACTCTCACCTGCGAGGGTTTAGGGTTTAGGGTATTTGCAACCCCAAACAGAGTCGGAGATTTAGAGTTCGGGCTTAGCGTTGCGTTGCAAGAGTTCCTACAAATATACAAGAGGTTGAGGGCATCAGGGTTTAGGGTTTAGGGCTTCGGGCACTAGGTTTAGCGGGTTTGGAGTTCAGGGCATTCTGATAAAAACAGAGGCTGGTCGCAACAAAACCCAATCTATCTTTGGTCCTAAACCCCAAAGCCCAAACCTTAAACCCCTAAACCCCAAAAAACCTAAACCCTGAACCCGTCCTAAACCGTCCTAAACCCCGAACATCCAAACATCCACAACGTGAGGACGGATCTCGCTGAGGGTGAGGTCACCAAGGTGAAGATCAACAGGGTGGATGTGACGGCCCCAGTGGTTTAGGGTCAGGGGTAGGGGTTTAGGGTTCAGGGGTTTAGGGTTCAGGGGTAGGGGTACCCATGTGTAGGCTTCGAGTGCTTCTGTGTTAGGCATTTATGGCTTCGGGTTTTAGGGCCATTGGAGTTTTTGATTCCTTGCTGGATGTGTCAGCCCCCGGGTTGGTCCTGAGGGTGCTGTAGGGTTTAGGGGTATAGGGTTTACGGTTGGCTTTGAATTGAAGTGTTTCAACAAGGCTCATTTAGAGGCCTTTCGAGGGATGTGACTCGTGTTGCCCTATAAACTTTAGGGGAATACTCTTTTTTGTTGCCCGTGTGGCTATAGGTCAATACCTTGACCAAAACCTATTCTCATTTCAACAGGGCGCCTTTCGGAGTGGGGGTTCTCCGGGAATGATGATGCCTACTCAGCCCTTTCTTCCAGGCCCTTGCATAAAGACTGAACTCCTCTAGCCCTGTTTGCGTTGTATGCCGTAAGCTCCTAATAAACCCTGTAAACCCTGAACCCTAAACCCTGAACCCTAAACCCCTGTAACTCTGGAGCCCTCTTCTTCGCTGACAGA